TACAGTCGATTACTTCGGAAACGTTAGTTCTGTTGACGTTGTGTTGTACCGTTGTGATTACGTCCTCTCAAGATCTGATTCATATGAGTCCAAAAAATATACATTTTAACTGACCTAATGAATACAAACTTCTGATTACATTTAGCTGTTGTGTTGTGCGGTTGTTATTTAATTATTATATTATATAACAAACATACCACGTTTTAAAACAGCTCAGTCTTGTATATGTGGATGCAAAAACTTTTAAAAAGTTATCAAAATATCCTTGTATACAATTTTTCAAAAATGAACAATTTATTGTTCCACAATGTTTTCGAGTATGATAATGAGTGATGAGTAATATAATAAGAGACGCGACTCCGTTGCATGATTTCATATTATTTACGTTTATAAAAACCGCAAATTATGACTGGCACAATTCCTAAAACTGTACCAAAATGATTACAAAAGAAATATCCAGAAAGAGCACAGTAAGAGCTCTTAAAGTAAACATTCGCAAATGCAAAACAATTGCAAACATGAACTAGATTAGTTACGTAGGTACGGAATCACGATCGCACCCATCTATTGTTCCAATTGACTTATGCCCCATCAGTCGGCCGAAAATCTCCGGGCATTGTTCGAGTGTTCTTCCGTGCAGATCACCTCATTTCTCAAACTGGAAATTTCTTTACGTAACGTACAATTCCTGCACTAGCCCAAAATACATGTTTCAAAAATTAAAATCCTTACAAATCATAACCCTTAATTTCCTATAGTCGTGGAAAAATAATAACGCCTATACTCGTGGGTCCAATGGACCCATGCATTTTGGAATGGTGATCAAATAGAAAGTATGATACATTTATAATATCCTTTTTATTCACACTATTATTTTAACTTTAACAAATGCAGTGTTGCATAAAATTAACGACAGGAACATATATATCGATATCTATTTATATTAGTCGTAATTTGCTTAAGAGGGAGCAGAGGAAAAATTCTTAATCTTCGATTTTATTTTAGAGGGGTATATCCACTTTAAAGTTAAAAATAAAATATTGTATGAGTAACTACACGATATATTCAAGCATAGACACTAATCAGAAACATAAAACAATAAAGTTTCCTCGATGGATAAAAATCACGAAATGACCTCTAATTTTCACATTTTTTCGATTCATCCTCGAAATACTACAGGTTATTAGGACAAAAATTAGATAATTAATTATATTTATGCATGATCGAGAACTGTCACTGATTTTTTGACTTTCACTGACTATGGAATTTTTTACTTTTAGTTTTAGAGTTATTCCGTTAAAACGAATTTGGTACTTTTAATGCGCAAAATTCAACATCTCCTGTCGTATGTCACGCGAACTTCAGGCATATATTTGTTTCACAAATTTGAGCGGAGCCAACGTCAAAACTTTTTTGGCATGCTCCCTCTTAATCTACAATCAGGTCAACTAAAAACAATCAATAAAAAATTAAACAAACTAATGTCAAAATCCAAAAACAAAACTTTTTTCTTACATTTGATAATAATATTGTTTTACAAAAATAAAATAAAACTAAAACTCCCTGTGAAGAAAACTGACACTATGCAATTTATTTTCTAATTATAAACATGAATAGCACCCAGTTGTTACATATACCATGTAAGATAATTTCAACTTTATTTTGATTAGGATTTTCGCTGTCAGATATTTCAGAACGTTTCATGATCACTAATTCTGACAAAATCCTCGTCATTATTTGAAAACTCTTTATCAGAATTTGAAGTATTCATCATCATCATTGCTGTCTAAATCAACGTTCAATCGTTGCTATAATATATCTTCTTGAATCACTAAGACACTTTTTCAATTCGCCATGATTAAAAATTGAAATAAAAAACAAAAGTAGATAAAATATGTCACACAAAAAACTTATGTATCTATAGTCCCCCACGACTATAGTTAAGAAGATATCCTGCTAGTTGTACAGTTTTAGGAATGTTGTCTAGAAGAAGTTTGGAATAGTTCCGAGCGAAATCTGTATGTCTACCTCGAACAAACCATCCAATTAGGCAGAGCCAACTTCGAGAAAGAGGTCAATTGCCGAATCCGACTCGGTTGGGCAGCTTTCGGGAAGCCCCGGGACGTCTTCTCGTCCGCAATACCGCAAGTCCTTGAAGACAAAAGTCTTCGAGCAGTGCGAGTTGTCAGCGATGACCTACGGAGCTGAGACGTGGTCACTTACTATGGGCCTCATAAAAAAGCTCTAAGTCACTCAACGAGCTAAGGAGCGCGCGATGCCGAGCATCAGCGTTTCTCTAGTGATCGAATCAGAAATGAGGAGATTCGTAGAAGAACGAAAATCACCGACATAGCTCAAAGGATTAGCAAGTTGAAGTGACAGTGGGCAGGGCATATAGCTAGTAGAATAGACGGCCGTTGGGCAGAAAGGTTCTCGAATAGAAACCACGAAGCGGAAGGCGTTCAGTGCGACGACCCCCTATTAGATGGACGGATGACTCGGTAAGGCGGCGGGTAACCGATGGATACACGTCGCCTCCGACCGACTAGTCTGGAAATCTTTGGGGAAGGCCTATGTACAGAAAGTACGTCTACCGACTGATATGATGATGATGAAATCTCTAATCCTCAATCTAGTGTTTACAAGTTATGTGCGCTATCACTGAAATTACTTCTTATTCTTACTAGTCCATGATATAAAATTTTACATAATACCAATGAAGTTACCGAGTAATATTCTAGTGTATTTTACTATCCTGCCCACATGACCTAGCCAGACTGGTTTCGCATGCAGCCGAGTCAGGCTAATTCACTACAATAATCACTCCAAGTCTAAAACCAGTAATCGTTTAATGCCTGTATCATATATATACTACGTATTCAGATGCATACTATATCGGTATTACGGTAATAAGGTCACCCGTTCAACGTTTAGCAATGGTGAACAATTGTCACCGACATTTAACATTATCGATTAATTATTTTAAGAAGTGTTACAATGTATGCATTCAATTTTTAAAAATTCCAATACCAACCTGTAACGTTGACAAAACTTCAAGTGAAGCAATTTTTCCTGAGCCAATCGAAAATGAGGAGCGAATGGACGCGACCGGTATCTTTCGGTCATCAGTTGCAAGCTCCCGAGCCTTAAAAGGTGAACATAACTGAGCTTGTACGAGTGCAAGTTGGTACTTGTACGATTGCAAAACAAAACTGCTCTGACTCGACTCTGACTCAGGAGCCATACGCAACGCGATGTACGAACTTTGACGGTGTTGATGAAAATAATTAATTTCGCTTACGTGTACGAGTATAACTCCATATACCTTAACACGGTTAACAGTTATTATTCACAGTTGAAACAGAGATACCTTTACAACGATAGTATTTCATATCACAACGATAGTATTTTCAATCACAATAAACATATCGAAAATTCTACAAGGCAAAACAGAAAATTAAAACTACTATTATGGGAGCCAGTGGTCGGACGTCAGTTTATTTTTATTTGGTATCGTGTATGTGAGAGCGGACGTGTCATCTCTTCGTGTTCCTTTTGTAGTCTTATAATGGCTGGCTATATGCTTCAGGAGATTCATAAGCGCTATATAAAATTTTCGTTTGCAGTAGACTTCCTACCAGATGGTATATCAACAAACGCTAACAATTATGAAGTCACGAAATTAAAAAATGCAAATAACAAATTGGAAACAATGAAAGAGTAGTGTTAAGACAATAGTTAGATAGTAAAGGAGCAATACCTTCCGCTTTTTTTCTGCAGAAACAATTATTTGTGACTTTGTTCATTTCTTATCGGAATGGGCTAGTAGGTATGCAATTGACTTGAAACTGTTACCAGTACAATGAGCAAATAAACTACTAAACTGATAACATTTCTTGTAAATAAAGAACTCCTCAGGTTCGTTAATACTTTCTATCGTTCACATTTCAATAGTACCGTACGAGGAACTAGAACACTGCAAATTTCAAGTTAGCCTGTCACCGTTTAATTACTCGCTGCGCTGAGACCAACCATCGAGAAAGACAATAGATAAATAGAATCTGTTCACTCTCACTTTCGTTACACTGTCAAGAATTGCGTAAAGGGAGCCGGTGCCAGTGTAGCGTAGGTGGTCTCCCTACCTCTTCCCCCACTTCAATACGTAATTCAATCAGCTGCCCGTATCCATTGTCAATCCACCCCCTTCTTTACAAAAACCATCGGTAGTTAACTCGAAAATGAGCCTCGTCATAACTAGGAGACTAAAACGTCAATGATAAATACCATTCATCATTTGTAAAAATTGTGGTTTAGGTATCCTTAGGTGATAGATTAAAAGCTGTGTAGTTGACATTGCAGAAACTTAAGTCACACATTGATAAATGAAGACTAGACATTTTGAATATAAAGTCGCAATGGATGCCCCGGAAAATGTATACAATTACATTTATGCATAGAGTTTCTTTTGCACTCAAATTCATATTATAACCTGTACAGTAGGAAACAAACCCTTCGTATATTTTGCAAGTTTTCATAAGTTACGATTAATTCCTAGTCAGTCAGGAGTCCTTTGAAACGAATAAAGAATTTTGCTATTACAAAACACGTAATATAACGTAATAAAATATCATATCGAGTTCTGAGGTTTTCGCGATTGTTACACATATGTTTTTCGGATCTAAATGGCGTATATTTATTTTTGTTTTTTCAAACAAATGAACGAAACCCTTTACAGGTCACACGGTCACGGCTGACTCAATACTCACACTATAGTCCGAAAAACTTTCAATATTCAATAAAATATTATTATAATATTTCGATAAATGTTTCATTTTGTAAATTGGCATCAGTTCACATTTTCATTATTTAACTGTGTCATCTTTGGACGCAAAATTAGTAACATTTGTTCTTTAATTAAACTGATAACGCAATCCTTTTCTTACTATACATGAAAATATAACTTTAAGAAAGGAATACAATACGAAATTTACTTTTTTCAGGATTTGTACATATCGGATGGCGATCTTCCGAAGACGACTACAACTCTCATGGTCAACGGAGGAGAATCTCTCCTGTTCGAGCCCCTCTCATTGACGCAGATCAAGAATGTAAGACATATTAGCATTTCGAGAGCCCGGCGGATACGCATAAAAAAATATGCCGCTCAAAATCTCAACATTATAAGTACCTACTTAAACATAGTTGGGTGCGATGAAGTTCGTATAGAAGAGAGGGCTTTTAGCAATATCAAAGGTACGTTATTATATTAAATTATTTCTTACTTTGCATTGCGAATTAAATTTATTCACTACCCGTTTGCATTTCATAAATACTTCTTTTTTTCTCTTTTTCTTTTGAAGGACCTATTAAATAAATATTGAGTACTTAATGACAATAATTTAAATAAATCTACTGCAACAAGGCTATCCTTGCTTGTTGTTTAATATGCTTTGCGCGCCGCGCGTCTGTGATTTGGCTGGCGACTGTTAAACTATAATGAGCTTCGGAAGGTGGCGGTACCCACTCTGTTTCCCACCATTTTTATTAACATGTAACTTGTTTATATATTACGGTTACTATTCAAGTTTTAGTTATATCGCAGCTATGAGCGAACTGTTAGTTATATTTTAATGACTCACGTTCTTTGTTTGACTTATAGTATCTAACATGTGGCGTTGCGGGGTAGTAGTAATAGTAATAGACAAAGAGCTAGTAATTTTCTTAATACAGACACGGGTACAAACGCTGATGTCTATATGCAATTTTCGTAACATAATAAGGTGCATGCAGTTTGTATGTTGGCGTTGCGTTAAACCATGACTGTGCTGTCAGAGGTTGTATACAGATAATAATGTTATGATAAAAACTGATTCATACTGCCTTAAGGCAGCCGGTTTATGCGATGTAGACGTCCAATATACCGGATGCCGCCGATTATCGAGTCGCCGCCGTCTTCCTATTTCGACTAAGATGTACTGGACTTCATTCATCATCATGATTATTACTAGACCTCATATTTAAATATATTGAACTAAGTACCTGAATTACTGGTAACGTTATATATAATTTAAAAACAAAATGTTGTTGAAAATAAAATTATTTTGTGAAAAATGGATTGGTGATAAATGTTAGAATTAAAATATGACTGGTTCAAGATTTTACCATCTCAGCCAGCCGTCAGACCTGTAAAGGGCTGAAACGCTGCGAGATTTAGATCCGAAAAAATAGTTTGATTTCCAATAAAATAATACTAAAACTTTAAGTCTCCTTTCGAATAGGTTATAGGTTTCGAATAGGAATTAAACACAATCACATATCATTAACTACAGACACTGCAGCAAACAAATTAATGAACCTTGTTAAACCCGTATAAACGCCATGGTAATGCGACAATGAAAAAATATACATGTATTAGATTCATCATCATATATCTATCTATACATTTGACAATCGCCGTGCTCGATTGACTTGCACACCGGTTTTCGAGTTGTTGCCATCTCTAAGATCCCGGGTTCGATCCCCGATGCCGCGATGTAAAAAAAGTAACGTCTATATTGTCTCGGGTGAGGGTGTTTGTGGTACCGTCGTTGTTTCCGATTTCCGTAACACAAGTGCTTTAGTTACTTACTTTGGGATCAAAGCAACGTATGTGATGTTGTCTAATATTTATTTATATTAGGTATATAGACATCCACATATTTTGACTTCTCGCTGAACAGTAAATAAATAAATATAAATATTAGACAATATCACACGCACTGTTCTGATCGCAAAATAAGTAACTAAAGCACTTGTGTTAGGAACATCGGAAACAACGGTACCACAAACAATCCCGGACGGGGATCGAATCCGGGACCTCAGAGATGGCGACACCATGAAAACCGGTGTGCAAGCCACTCGACCACGGATGTCATGTGAACAATCCCGTACATTTCTACATAAGTTTTGTTTATACCAACCTCTTGGTTATACGGGAAAGGCACTATAACCTGTGCAAGCACAGGGACCTTCAAAGTTCAGGCTGTGTGAACAGCGGAAACTTAAACATAGTTTAAGAATATAATAACATGTAAACGTTACTCGGCCGATGATGCTTTCTACAAACTATAATTAAAATACTGTATATTTTGTTAGAGAAATCTTTTTACTACATACTTATCATTATATCAGGATAATATCCGGGCAATGATTCGTACGTGTTGCCAATAATAGCAAACAAAACGATGACAATCACGTAATGCGCTACTGCCGCAACCGTACCCGTCCAACGCCTTGCCCTTGGATATCTAGTCGGAGAGCAAAAAACTTTATTAAAAAAATCTTTAAATTCCACACCATAAGGCCCAAATGAGACTGTATTCGTATAATCACAGCCCTATTAATTCTTTTCAATGGTTCTTTTGTAACCCAATGTTGCTGTTTGTAATAAGAATACTAATAATAATATTTTAGTAAATGTGACAAAAATGTGAAGCCAATGAAATAATATCGAGACCGGACGACGTGTCACGTGAACATGTGCACCAAAGATGTGCAATGACGCACACGTATCCTAAAGTAATAAAAAATGTATGACACCGATTGTTTGTGCTGAATGCAAGAAAACGAGACTTTCGAAAAGAATTTTAAATTATCATGATACACATGAACTTTGAAGAAGTCTCTTTACTTTCGACCTGATTTATCTTGATCCAAATTATTTTTAAATAACCAAATAAGAATATAATCACAATCTACTACTTATAAATTTACTTATACGGTATGGAATTTGGTAAACTTAATCATTGCGAAAAAAATTTATGTTGTTATTAACGGTAACGTGCATAGTCTGCTGTATGTGGAACGTTCATAAACGGTTTTTACTGCACTAAAATTTTTACTCGATAATGTGTAGTTGTGTGCAGATCATTTAGAACATATAAAGTCAATAACCTTCTTTATTTTACCACAAGGAACGTTAAGACAGAATATCTATTCTCTACGCACTGCCTACAATCTCTTCGCTCATTGACTGAACATATGTACCGTTATCCTACGCAGCGTTTCAACTTAGTAATAAGTAAATTAGAAAGTCAAACATTTCACCGAATGACTCCGATTTAATATCATTGCAAACACTGAACATGAATTCGATAAGGTCATGATCGCGTTGCAATAAAATAATTAAGTCATTTCGGATACAAACGAGGATAACTGTGCCGTGGATAAGCCGATGGGCAGTCAGAAGCTCAAGTAGCGTCTGTCCGCGGATTGCCATCTAAAAATACACGTTTCCCCGACTCGGCATTCGTGTTTTACAGGATAGTGACTCATGTAACGAGCAGGCCGTAGTACAAAAGCATGAATGTATCTTAGACAATAGAGACGTGTTTTCGTCTATGTTCTTTAATTAAAAAAGGAAAGCCACTTAAATAGAGTACAACAACGATAGTAAAACTTCAGTATGGAAATAAATTTTAATCATTAAAGATGTAACACAGCACATTACTATCATTACTATCTTCGCTGATAATGATTGAATGAGACATGAGACAATGACAGCTATGTTAATCACTCTATCCAATGATAAACACATAAATACTATAACTCAAGATAATTGAAATAATAATTTTAAAAGTATACCTTTTGATTTCAGGTCCGCTGTCAGTGGCTATTACAAACGCTAAAATTGTCAATTTAGAAAGTAACGCTTTCTCCTGGCTACTGATGATGGAAGTATCCAACGTTAATAAGCTTAATTTAAGCCCTGAAGTTTTTATGTTGGACCCAAGTGCTGCCAACGTCGGAGACCATGGCCCCGGCATGTCGGTTAGTATTTGCATTAATGTCTGTAAATCTAGCTGGCGTTGTTATGAAGCGATGGTCATTTTTTTCCAACAATTATAAGCGAATGTTTATTTAATTTCTTGCAAATATGTGAAGCGCTGTATTTATATAAACATTATTCCTTTTCAGATTGTTCTAAGCAACCTGACTGTACCTGAGTTCCCTATGCAAGCATTTGGATCATCCGCTGCTTCCATCAACATGGATTTCGTACAAGTTCGCGCAATTCGATCAAGTGCATTTTCTGCAAACACATACAGCAATGTGATGGCATCCAATTGCTCATTTCACCTTATAGAAAATGAATCATTTGCTCAAAAGTCACTTATAAACAATTTTCAACTACACGGCTGTAAAATTTATCAATTTTCTACAAAAGCATTACAATCTGCAGTTGCGACTCTCAATATATCACACTCCAGGTGAGATTTATAATTATTGAACCTTAAAATGCACATAAAAAAGGAAATATTGTTAAATATGTGACTTAAGTAACATTTTAATTGTTAATGTTTTCAGTTTCAACAATATCGAGACCGGAGCTATTACAACAACAGTCGCAGCAGTACTAATTACAGACAACACTTTTCATAACTTTATGGAACGAGGCTTTGAATTATCTGCATGGAATACGTTCCACATGGAGAGAAATAAATTTGATAAAGTTGCGCCATACGCAATAGTAGCACCGGGTTCGTCGATACATGAAATGGTATTCTCTGAAAATGAAGTGGAAACTGCTGAGACTAACAGTCTTGCCTTTATTGGTCATGCTTATGCCAAATCTGCACGTCATGTAAAATACAAAAACAACTACTACGGACAAACATGCCACTGTAACATCAGTACCTGGCTAGCCGAAAGTTTGGGTGCTCAAAGTGCCGAGCCTTTCGAATCCGAGAGCTCGTGCACCGTAGGTGAGTTCTTTGCTCGCTGCTTTAACGAACCGTCACAAAACATGGTATTTAAAAAGTTTCTGGATGGTGTATGCACTGAAAAATCTACGATAGAATGCGAAGTTCCAATTCAAGTTAACCCAGAGATTCAAAATACAAGATTTCCACATAAAAAAGAAGACGATGAAGACTACGGAGATACCGAAAGAAATAACAAAGTGATAGGTATTGTCATTGTGACATGTTTAGGGTGTGTGATAATCGCACTGATCATTAGTTTTATAAAATGGATGAGACGAAAAGGCTATTGTGCAAACGTCAAAAATTTCCTGTCAAGAAATTCCTCTTGTGGAGCACTGTGCGACAGAATGTGTGGCTGTGGGAGAAACCATGGCCTGGACAACACACGATCTATATCTCAGTTGTCCGTCAATGAATATTCAGAACGCCATCGACTTAATGAACCACGAGTTCAAGAAAATATTCAAGAGACCAGACTTCCGGAGATGTACGGTGAGCAAGTAGTGCCCATGGACGACAAAACTACACAGACTTTACCTGAAGAACTAACTAAAGAACTTTTAGAAAATTTAAGAGAAAAATTGGAAGACCCAGAAAATTACGTAGAAGCACGAGAAATGATTGAACATCTATATGAGCTTATCAAAGTCGAAGAAAGCTGTAATTCAAACAATCCTATATCGACACGTGCTGCTGAAGAAAACATCTACGAACTACCATTCCAAAACACTACTCCTAGAATAGGTAAAAACAAGAAACAAATGATTAGCGTGGGCACGAGAACGCCATCTATAGATAAACTAATGCCACTTTCACCGTATAACCGGCAAACTGCACTGGCACATGAATATTTTGAGCCCAAAGATTTTGCAGTTCACTTATACGCCGAAATAGCAAATGCTGACAGGGAAAAGAAAAATCTACTGGGTATTATGCCAGATGTAATACAGGCAGATCAAGCAATTCCTCGTGGTCCATACTTACGCGCAGTTCGTGATAAATTAGGCTCAAGTGTCAGCGCTAGTCCTTCGACTAAGTATTTGAACAACTCCATTGCTAGTCCTCAACATTCTTCAACCACTAAATCAAACAAGTCTACGTTGTCTAATTCGTCAGGAAGAATGACAAATAGGCCACTGCCAGAAAAACCTGCCAACTTGGACCCTGGTGAGGGCACATCTTACAGACATGGCTGAAACTGAGCTATGGCCGTATCCGACGGCCAACAGACGAGTATGCCCAGCAAGAGACTAGTACAATTCAGCCAAAGACTAGAAATGCTCGTTACCGCTCACAAGACGCTATCTGTCCTGCCATCAGAGGGGACCACCACTACTCAGAGAACCCTCCACCGGTAATGCCTCCACTAATAACGAACTGGATTTGAGGACCCGCCGAGGCAAGATAGCTATGATTATTATTGTTTCGTTGCTGTGATATTATTTTGTTTATATGCGATCTTTCACAATGCCGAAGATAATTGATCGTGTTATATTATACACGGATGTCTTTAGTTTATTTGTAAATAATATGGTATAATAAATATTTAGGTTTGTATCAAATAATGTGCCACATAATGATAAAGACCGTGTTAATAAATTGTTAGTTAATATTTTCTCACATAGTAAACAAAATGGGCTGATTCTTTTTTCTTAACCACGACGTTAACTTACCAATTTATGGTTAGTGACAATTCCATTATTATGTGTACATTTTGCGGGAGGTTCATACAAATACGAGTGTGAAAATTATAACTATTTTTGAGAAATTTAAATGTATATGTACCTAGAGGCGCAAATTACGTATAACGATAATGAATTAGCTAGTCGAAAGTTATTCTTCCAATTAATTAATATGAATACAATGGTCTCTACCACAATTATTAATACAATGCAAATGTATATGTCAATCTCTAAACATTCACTACGAATTCACACTAATTGACAAAATTATCGTTCAATTTCGTAACCAATAATTCTTATTTGTATAATACTGAAGGATGACTAGGTAACTTAAAAAGTTATCTTTAATATTTCATTGTACTAGTAGGCACTTTGTCGTCCGAAAGGTTAGTGAGTCAAACATGAATTTTAGTAAAAGAATAGGAGTATACGTAATACCACTGCTGTACTACACTACTACGAGTATACTTACTATACACGTGATGAACATAATAGATGTATATGGAGGTAATGTTCACTTATCAAATAATATTATTTAACTGTGCGTAGTAAATGTTGACAGTAGAGTTAGTTCAAAATATTAATTAATGTTCTTCACTGTGTAAAAATTTAATAATCACAGATTCTATATATATTTTAATCGATACCTGGAGTAATCATAATAATGACTTCCAATTATTTCCGCCTTTCCACTACACGTGGTGAGAAGTCGCTCATAGTTGTTCTCATAGTCTGTGGTTGTTCCCGTTGCATGTACCATTGTAAAGTGCAGTTCAACATTATCTTTGAATTTGTATTTGTCGGTTTTGAAATCAACCATTAGGTACACAATTAGCATATCTATAGACATAAATAAATATGTAATATATTTTTTAATAATACATAATACAAAATCACAAATATTTACAATGAAATTTTTAAAAATTTCAAAAAAGTATATTTTTTTAAATTTATAGACAAACCTACTATGCTTTTGAAAGTATGTAAAGATAATAACAATTAGCGGTGTGAAACTTGTTAACTATAGAGGTAACGGCGAAATAAATCTAGGGTCTGCAGTCTAAAGCACGTAAGTCAAAAAAGTGCTACATTTTTAAATATTATATTTATATATATTTTTGTGTTATTTATAATGTTGGAAGATGTGAAGGGAATGATGAATTTGAAAAAAAAGACGCCACTAGAACTTAAGTTACAAATTAGTGAAGTAACAATTGAATTTGTCTCATGTGCTTTAGACTAGAATGATGTTGGTTTTTGACTTATGTGCTTTAGTCCGCCGAAAATGGAAATATTCTTTACGTCTTCTGTAATGAGTAATTTTAAAATGTCTCCATTAAACCAATTTTAACTATATCTATAGAAGAATATAAAATATTGAAACTATAATTCTTTAATTGTATTAGAAAATCTAATAGATACCCATAATTATTAAATAAATTACTTTATTTGTTCCATATGTCAACGTAAATATTGAATTTTACTTTATATCAGAGCTTATATTATTATTCCATAAATGTTATAATTAAAAAAATAAATGTTGGATGTGAGCAAGACAAAGGCATTTAATTTATTTCGTAACGCAATCGATTTCGTCTACTGGCACGGCAGCGGCATCTGGAGAATATCTATATAAATGTAAAGGGTTAGGCTGGTTCTTAGCGTGTTGAAGACAATTTATTTATTTATTTATAAAGGCACACCAACAGCATCAATATTGTTTTATTTAAAAAGGTTTACGGTAAGAGGAATTGTTCTTATACATATGTCTATTACTGGTACACACAACTTAGTAGAAATTAAGTAGTACACAACTAAGTGGGTATACATGTTAATTGAAGAAGGAAAATATTATTATAAAATACCTAATTATAACTATAAACAAAACAAGAGAACGTTCCTTTTTTTTAAACAAAACAAAAATAAATATTAAAAACTTAAAACACTTACAGATTTAACGAATATAGGATTATAAATTCAGATGTGGCTTCAAAGTATTGTCAGCAGTTTTGTTTTAAACATTTTTAGAGTATCGTTGAAGATATGCAGCTCTGGTTGTTTTACAGATAAACGGTTGTAATGGGAAGACATTCTCGAGAGTGAATGATGGAAACCTAAATTAGTTCGACATTGAAGAAAATTAAAAAGTTTAGCTAAGTGAGATCTGGGATATTTAGAGCTTTATGTTTTCAAGTATTGCAGAACTTGATATCTCACCATTTACTAATTTATGTAGAAAAGACAAGTCAGCTATAATTCGTCGATTTCGTAATGTGGATGACAATGTATGTAATGTTTTAACTTTTTTTTTCCCTTACAACAGCAAGACGTCTAGAATTGTTTTCATTTTTACCATATTTATATACCACATTTACCAAAATTGGCATATGGAACGGCTACTGTAGATTATGTGTCCTTTAAATTTATTTAATTTTAAAGTACGACATTAGTTGCGCATGCACTCAAGCATATCCAAAGGACTTGTTTGATTATAAGAGGTTTGAACACAGAACATGTCTATGGATGTGAATTACAAAATGAGTGTATTTTTAGCCGATTTCAAAAAAGTAGGAGCATTGAGAACAATTCGACTGTATTTTTTTTTGTATGTATGTTACGCGATAACTCCAGTACCGGTACCTCAGTAGTGGTCCCATTTAAATTTGAAGAAAATATTCAAACTAGGGGCAACTAGGCAAACTAGGGGACGAACGACTTATGAAGTCGGTTTTTTTAGTACACTGTACTGAGATTATTATGATATCAAGTGATGGGACGAACAAGTCGAGCGCCCGGGGGAAAGAGACACGCCTGTCCATAATAATTGCTGTGCCATTCAGAGCTACAAATCACCAAGATGTGAGGGGCACTGCCGCTGCGCCTATCACCGTAAGACGTAAGTTGACAAAGCTCATGTAACTATAATTTCACTAGCACCCTATACCCACCAAAACACGAGGCGAAAGTTAGCGCGTGGCCGCCGCGCGGCAACCGCCCAGTTACCACGCCGTCATGTAGCGAACAAACAAATACAGCGTATTTTGCCATGACAGTAGCACGCAGTCGCTACGCGGCGGCAACGCGGACTCAGCTCGGGGAACGCGCGTCTGTCGCGCGAGGTGGGCGCGATGAAATTCGTGTGGAATAAATGCGCCGCAGTAATACTCATATTAACACTTAGCGATAGCAATAGGTAAAGTGGCAGTACTGCTCGGGATGAACTCTTTCACAAGTAGCTCTACTGCTATTAATACGGTTTTATGTACAATGTCCATTTAACATATTATTTTTAATAATAAATAAGTGTATTTATGATGATGGTGGTGGTACATCTGCGTCAATAAATAGTATTTATTATTATAATTGTATTACCACATAACCACGCTTTGTATTGCATAGAATCATTTCAATACGTGCTTAGATTTCCATAGGGTTACGAACGGCGATTGTGTCTAATAGTTGGTATTAAGGTAGTTGCAGTCAGTCAATGCAATTTGAAAGGTGTTTAAGGTATTTCTCAGTGCCTACTGCCTTTTCATTAACTATACAGGCGGTAAGGCAAAATACTAAAAATTTTTATACATACATTTTTCGTTTGTTTGATATCGCAAATAATCCTTATAATAATAGAAAAAAGTTACATAATACGAAACCATATAATAGTTTTGTACATAATCAATCAGTCAAAAAATCTTTACTACGACACAAAATACTGATGAATTAATAAATAACATCATCGACATCACCTGCAACCTATCGCAGTCCACTGCTGGACATGGGCCTCTCCAATGCGCGCCATTTCGCCCGGTCCTCAGCTCGTCGTATCCATCTGCTACCACCAGATTTTGCCGAACCGTGGTCTCCATTCAGGAACTAGCTTCCCTCATCGGTTATCGGTTCTTCGATGGTATGGCCAGCTCACTGCCACTTCAGTTTGCTTATTCTACCAGCTATGTCGACGACCTTGTCGACCTTTCTTTGTTGGATAACCTCGTTCCGTACATTGTCCTTCAAAGAAACTCCGACCATAGCTCGCTGAGCGACTTTCGACTGGTGGACTAACCGTATAGTGAGTGTCCACGTCTAGGCTCCGTATATCACAACTGGTAGAGCGCAGTGATTAAAAACCTTTGTTTTCAAATTTTGCGGTATGGTTGACGAGGAGACTACGTAGTTTACCTCTTGGCTTCCCTCTCGAAGTTGTTTCTGCCTAATCGCAAAATCTGCCCGAGATAAATGTATTCGGAAACAACTTCAAGAAGGTATACATGTTCCCAATATATTGGGTTCTACAAGTACTAAGTGCGTAATACGAGTTTAATGGTAGACGAAACACTGTTTAGACACTACCATTACACTTGTACTACTTGCTTTATTCAATTTGTTTCTTTCAACAGGCTGTCGATAACAGAAAGCCGTATAAAAAGCAAACGTGGCTTATCGACAAGTTCGTGATCAAAATCATGTAGTTCGTTGCGTATAAAATCGAAACCATAGTCTCTAAAACACGCGTTACGAACATAAATATTTTGGAATATGATTAACAATTAGATTTTGCAAGTGGATTGTCCGTAACGTGCGGAAACAAACTAAAGCATAAACAGTCACTTTTTGATATTTACAATTTACATTTAATAATTGAGGTAAGATCAAATTTTCAATTGAGTATTTTAACAGTTTTAATGATGGGGCGCACTGTATAAGACAAATGTGAACTTTTATATATCGCACGTTGAAACCAATACTATCACAAATAACAAAGTCAACTTTCGGGAATTAATTTTAACATTAGAGATTTTTGTTAGTGACGATATTATCGTGTTATATTTCAACGTGATCAAGTATATTAGATTTTGAAGTCTCGTGTAATAAAAACCGTAAAAGGAGGGAAAAGTAAATTCAGCACCTCGTACCATGAGTTTACATTGTTGAAATCGTAAAATACTGGTAAGGCTATTTTATTTCTTCATGTGACCGCTAGAAGCGCTATACAATTTGCCATAAAAATATTTTACGTGGTTTCTAACGACTTCAATACTCACTTTAGATGCACACTCACACTAATAATAAGCAAAGAAAGTATTCACAAAGTAGTAAAGACTGAACAAAATTAGTTAGCAATCAAAATGTTTTACACTACGTTTCACTAGTTTTCCGAACCCTAAAAGTGGAAAAAAAATATGAACGGTCGTCTGACGACCCCTGAACGATGGTATTTATATCATCAATTTATTGTAAGGCTAAGCAGCTCATGCCACGAATAGGAAGGAAATAAACAAACACTTATACATCGGGCATTACGTAAACGTAACGTCAGTTGCATCTAACGGAAATCTGGATAGTCTCTCTTTGTGCATGTAGGAAATGTATTTGAATATTTTTTTCAGATATCACCTTTTATTAAACTAACGATGTAAATATTGTTGTGTGTTCATATCACGGAATTGTTGGCGAGCACCCAAACGTGTCTAGTAATAATCTCAGTGCAGAGTACTAAAAAACCGACCTCAAAAGTACGTGGAATTACATCTATTTGCCCAGTTTTATTGAAATCGGTTACCGGAAAGTGCGCAAACCCGGATTCATCCCCTAGAACCTGTCACAGGAGATAATAAAAATCGGTTCTCACTACTCAACGTACATTGAGACAGAAAAACGCCTTGAATCGGAGAATAGCAAAATCAACCATAGAAATAATTGCTCCTTATACTTAATTTAGGCGCTATTTATTAAAATGAATTTTCATGCGTGAACAGCCACCCTAAGAGGTGGATGATTTTCTTCAAAATTAAATGGAACCACTACGTAGGTACCCTCTTTCCAACAAAAAAAGAATCATCAATGTCGATTCAGAAGTACCGGAGTTATCGCGTAACATACATACAAAACAAAACGTACGGCCGAATTGAGAACCTCCTCCTTTTTTTGGAGTTGGTTAAAGAAAGTTTGCAAATACAGAATTTATTAAAGTATTAAAGAATGTCTACTTAACAGTCACTTTTCCATATTAAGAAAACTAAACAGCACATTACTAACAGTAAACTAATTTCTACAAATAAATT